GCCCAGTAACACGAGTCGTGTGACACTCACACTACTCGTGTCACTCGGCACACGACTCGTGTGTCTAGTGACTACACGACTCTCCTGGATAATGTTTATTTATAATTTTGTACTTTCTGTTTCATTTTAAATTACACATTAAAATATTACTTTGTTTAATTGTTTCAATTTTTGGATCGTATACTTTTAGGGACAAATCACCAGAGCCAGCATAATCAGGGTTCCTGGACAGATGTTGAGTTTTTTCGGACGCTTGCCAAAGAGGTTGAAGCGAGCGATCCTGCGACGATGCGGTATTGCAATAACCTCCTTTACGGTCAGCTTTACCCGGACCAACAAACATATGGAGAATCGGAGGTTAAGGAAAATACGCGAGGTCGTCCCAAAAAAACTGATTCTACTAAGCGTGAAGCATCGCGATTGGAGTATAGGGATAATTCTCAAGGTCGTACAAGCAATTCTTCGCGTGGACGCACTTCTTCGCGTGGACGCACATCTTCGCGTAGACGCACTTCTTCGCGTGGACGCACTTCTTCGCGTGGACGCACTTCTTCGTGTGGACCGAGAACCAGCCAATCTTCTGAACCGTCACAAGAGGCACACCAAGGTGACATTTATTTTTTATAAAGTTGAACGTTAATTAAAATGTTAATTTACAAAATTATATTATTTTATTGTGACGTGAAATTATTATGATGTTCCAGCTGGTACCGAGACATATATATTTAGCTTTAAGTACAGCAGCTGTGTTCCCTGGCATATGTTGGACTACGTAGTGAGCTACTTGAATGTGAAAGCAGATGGGAACTGCGGATGGCGGGTCATCGCGAGTTACATTTACGGGGATCAGGAGATGTGGCAACTCGTACGAGAGAACGTTGCCAATGAGATTTACAGCCATCGTGCCTTGTACGAGTACATCTATTACAGGGATATCGACACGGCACTCGCTCGGATAAGGTGGGACGGGGGCGCTTTTTATTTGTTCTTTTATATTATAATCATTATTATTCAAATGCTAATATTTTAATGCTAATTATTATTCAAATGCTAATATTTTAATTTTATAAGGTGGGACGGGGGCGCTTGTGGTATGAATCACTGGATGGACACTCCAACCGACCTTTACCCTGTTGTAACCCTATTTAATGTGGTTGTCGTTCTTTTAAGCTCTGGTCGCGATGGTCGTATGTCCAACCAGTTCAGCTACACAATATTGCCGCTCGCTGCAGCATCAACGAGCACAGGGCCACGTCGTGAGATTTGCATATGTCATCTTGGTAGCTACGCACACTACATTCGGTTAGATTTGACTCCTGATTGTCCATTACCGCCTATTCATAGTATGTGGTTCAGACACCGAACTTCTTCGGT